ACCGGGCTGAGGGTGCAGGGGCCGGGCCTGCCCCTCCCGTGGCCTGGTGGTGGTAAAACTGGGGCTTGGGAGGGAAACGGGAGCTCGTCTCCTGGTTTGTTCCAAAGCAGCCGGAGATTCGGGGCTTGGGAACCTGACCCTCCGAGCTCTGGGGGTGAGGAGGTGCTGCTCCCCTCGGCTCCCCTGTGAGCCAGAGGCTGCTGCCAAGCCTGTCGTTTTCCCAGAGAAACGGGTCATGTCGGGTTGGGGTTGTTGCGTCTGAAATATTTAACGGTGAATTTTTGGATGCTTGTTTTTGAGCAGTGGGGGAGAAAAGGGTTAATGTACAGCGTTGTCGCGGGGAGCTGAACACCGAATGCTTTAGTGTTTGGGACAGATGCTAATAGCAAAGCCTTCCTCTTGCCCAGTTAATGTACTTCTGGGACGTTTCTGTAGGACTTGCAAAGGAAGTGGCAAAATATCCTCTTCCAGCCTCGGTTTCTCAGTGTAATCTCAAGGCAGTGTCTCAGCCAGTGGTGTTTCCTAATAAAAGATGAGATGAATGTTGGTCAGAGATGGCAATGCTGCTTCCATATACATTTTTTTTAAAGAAACATGGAAGTCTGAAACTATAGAGAGTATATAAACCAGTGGGAAAGTATTGATGTTTTATGAAAGCAAACTTTTATCAATTCTTTCCCAGGACAGGACTCTATTCATGATCTTATGGTCAGAAATTTCCTTTTCAAATCCAGTAGTGCTACTTCATTAGTCCTTCTCTACTGATTTGCCATCAGGAAGCTAGTAAAACCTGCATGGAATTATGTCTCTCTTATTCCCTTTGTGTATCAAAGGATCAAGGGGGGGTTTTTTAATCCTTAATAATAATTTGCATCCTGTGTTTTTTGTATATTGTTGACTGTAAAATCAAAGCCTGATCTTTGTGATCGAATCAGTGTTTCAGAGTTTCATATAAAAATGCAATCGAAAGCTCACCTAACTGTAGGTGCCAGATTGTTTTACTAGAAATAGAGTTAATTGCTTTATTTCAGTAACTGATGTATGTGCATGTGACGTGTCTTGGTTATTTATTTCTTTTGCTGTTGATGTAGTTGGTGGATCTCAAAGCAGAACTCTTCCGAAAGCAAGAAGAATTCAAGAAAGAAAAGCTCTTGAAAGATGCTGGCATCTTCACAAAACCCAAAACTGCTAACAAGGTAGAAATATTTTTTCCACTGTTGTTTTTATCATTCTTTCTCCTTAAAGTAAGGAAGTTCACATTTAAATCTCAATCAATGAATAAAGAAAGACATAAATAAATACTTCAGCACAGTAGATAGAGTCTCAAGTCAAACATGTTTAAGATGTTCTTTACAAAATCTTTCATGATTGATCTGCAAAGATTGTATGATGGAGTTGAAATATTTTTAATCATTATAATTTCAATGTTTGGATCTTTTTTTTTTGGTGTTATCAAATTGTATTCTACAGAAACCAAGCATTTGGAACAAACAAAACACAGGAGTTGCAAATCGAGCTGAGAAAGATGTTGAACAGAAGACAGAAGAGGAGCATATATTAGATAAGTCAAGGTAACTCTTGGGGTCCCTGAGAAAGGAACACTTGGTACAACTTGGTTTTCAGTGTTTAGAAAAGCACAGATCGAGCACGTTGTGCACGTCTTGGACCAGCAGTTCTCATTAGACCAACCAGCAAGATCAGCATCAGTTTGATGCTCTTTACTAGTAATGTACAAACTGCTTCCCAGCAGTCTCATGCTCTGGGGACACCTGCCCTCACACAGTCCTGGCTGTCTTAAGTGTGTCAGGCTACTGAGTTTTGGAAGTAACCTTTCAAATTAAAAGCCAGGGCAGTGACACATCAGAATTCTGTAGTGAAGTGTTTCTTGGACTTGACAGAAAATGGCTCCCTTTTTTGCAAGATTTACTTCATCTTCTAAATTATTTAGTTTTACTTGACAAATTGCACTTAAGATTAATTCTGTAACTTCACTACAGTTATTTCTGGAACTGGGTATCTTTGTATCTTCTGAAAAGTCTGTTAATTTTCAAAACAAAAACCAGGCAGAAATCAGCTTCTAGTAAATCTAGTAAATATTTCAGGCACTCCTGGTATTTTCCATTTATCTAAGGCTAAATTTGTAATTTTAAACTGTGTTTGGAATTGCTGAGATTACAGTGTTAATTCTTTTTTCCTTTTTCAGGAAGAAACTAGAAGAGAAAGCAAAGCTGTATGAGAAGATGACAAAAGGCGACTTTCCAGGTGAACAGGACTAGTCTAAATGAGTAGATAGATAAATATAGATAGAGCTGTAAAGTTCATCCTATAAGCTGATATTTCTGGCTGTCTGGTGACTTACAGCAGTCACACTGTGAATTCACTTACTGTCTTCTTGCATGGGAATTTTTTTATTTTGTTATTTACAAAGTGATTGACATGGCTTACTCTGCTTTGAAAGGAAGAAAAGTATAGGTACTAGAGAAAATAAAATTACTTGTTGAAGGACAGGCTGCCCTAGTAAAGCACTATGGGCTTGTTTCACTCATTCATTAAGTGGGTGGAATATATTCTGGTTTTTCCATACAGAATCTTGGAAAAACAAAATGAATTTATTCTCCATTATGCAGTCTTTGGATTGCATTGCTGCTGTCCTGCATCCTAATTCCTGGACCTTTATGAAGAGAAGAGGAGCAGGAGGGGAGTCTGGCTGGTCTATATGTGAATGCCAGTCATGCAGCTAATAGGGTTAGAGAATTCTAATCTGCTCCTTTCTTCTCTCACTCATTCAGTCCTTTGCAAGACATAAATGTTAAAATAAAATCCAAATCTCCTTCTGAGTAATCTCTAATATTTTTTCTACTAGTATCTGGTTTGTCCATATGACCCCACCACTTTACTTTTCTAAACTAGTGATCATTTACTGCCAACACACCAAATGCTGAGCATCAAAAAAGTATTTGAACTGTTAAATGACAAACCCTCTACTTCTGAACTAGTAAATGAGCAGAAAATATTGTAGTGGAAAGACTGCAACCTTTTCTGTATTGTACTCAAACAATTCACTACTTTAAAACACCTTAAAGCTATTCAGAAATTGAGGTTATCACTGTGGAGCAAATTTTTGGCTCCCAAGTTTGTCTGGCACTACATGAGGTTTAAGTATTCCCCAAGAGTGTGGTCAAGGGCATTGCTGGTAGCTGAAAGGCTGATTGTGGCTCTTTTGTATTGATTTTGTGCTCAGTTCTGTTCTTTTCATGGCTGTTCTCTAAGAATTGATTTTCTGCCTCAGATGAAGAAACCGAGGATTTGTACCTAGTGGATTTCACTCAGAAGATCATAGACAAACAGCACGAAGCACAGGAGCTGTATCAGAGCGAAGCTGCTAGAAAGTCTTTAGAAAAAGAGTCAGATGATGAGGAAACTCAACCTGAAACAGAAATACCACCACCTGAGGACCCAGATGAAGAATGGTTGGTATTACTGATTGGGCTTTTGTTTGGTTAATACTGCACATTGAGAAGAGTTGGTAACACTCCTCATTTCATGTCTCATTAAAGACAGTCCTTCATGTTACTTTCCTTTCCATGTAGGTAACACTGCAATGTAATCTACATCCAGGATTTTAAGGATAGTATAAGTGAGACACTGTAATATCTTTTTTTATTTTCCTGCATAGTTTGTGGGAGTTCTGATTGCAGCATTGATATAATTTTATATATTGATGTTTTGAATCAAAATGTAATTTAGCAAAACTCATGGTTTTTATTGTCTTCTCTAATTACATGTGTCATACAAAATGAGCAGCTGGTTTTCACTGTGTGACCTCCTCTTAAAGGAGAGAAACTCTGATTGGAAAAAGAACATGATTTTCCAGCATCTCTTCCACTGTTGAGCTGCAACACAACAAATAGTCTGTGACAATTTTCTGTGACATCCCAAGTAACTGTTAGATTTTTATCCATGACTTCAGTAAGAATTATGAAACCAGTCTTGACTAAATATTTGCCATGCCCCTTTGTCTGACATGCTTATGGAACAGAGATTTTACTTCTGGTTATCAGTTTAAAACATTAGTAACCAATATGGAAAAGAGTACTGATGTTCTCCAGTTTATTGGGCCAAGATAAGATTTGCAATGCACTGTTTTGGAGTAAACTGGGAGGATGAATCCAGCACAGTATCAGCAGACTGGTTGCAAAGGGAGATATACCCATTACCAGCATCTTACTGCATTTCAAGATGAAGCTATAAAAATGACCCAACAATGGGCTCAAACTGCTTCATGCTCTCATTGCTGCCATAAAGTGTCAGAAATGTCAGCTGATACATTTTGCCCTTCACATGGTGCTTTTCTATCATTACCAATATATAACTTCAGGTGTGTTATTAATATAGTGTCCATCTCAGTGAGGCCATATCCTACGGGGGATATTTGGGTGCTAGTATAATGAATGACAGTTATCCTGGAGCCATAGCTCTGTCTTCACTGTAGGGAATGCAGACTTTTTTCCTACTGATGTTGCATTATAATGAAAACCAGAAAGCACTGAGTATATACTAAACTGTAAATAAGCTTATATATAAAAGAGTTAACTTACTAAAAATGCACATCTTTAAAAGTTTGAGTTTTGGGAACTAGATTGCCAGTCATACTTTTTCAGATGTAATAATAGTTCTTTAGAAAGGGATAATTGAGGCAGCTTGATGCTAAAGGATTTCTTAGCATTACAGGAAAATAAGTATAGCTCTTAACAGCTTTTTCAACGACCGTAAATTAAGTGTTCTGTACTTCAAAGAGTTCAATAAGTACAATATGTGCTTCAGAGGAACATTTTGCTTGCATTTTATTCAGCCTTTGTTATGCCAGTGAATGAACACTATCAGCCTACTCTAAATGAGCCTTAGACTGATAATTGAAATATATTGTAGCAATTTCATATCTGCAAGAAGTCAATGCTGCGTCATTATTTTCATCATGGGAAGCAAGTATTAGGCTCAGTTTTATTTTTGGTGTGAAAACTACAGGACATTGTAACTTCTGAACATTTTTTACACCATCTTGCCAAGGCAAACAGCTGGCTCAGAGGGAGATGGGAGTATATGTCAGTGATAAAGCTGTGACAGTGCCCTGCTCAGAATGTGCCCTCCTAACCTGTCAGCCTGTTATTGGAAAGGTTGGAGAAACTGACACATGGAGAGGCTGTGAGGTGATGAATACTCTTTGGAAAGTGTCTCTGCTGCTGTGTTCTGGGTACGAGTGCTGTAAATCTGCAAACAGAAGTTCCAACTTCCTTTACTTTCATTACAGGGTCGATTATGTTGACTTCTTGGGCCGATCAAGACGCTGTATGAAGAAGGATTTGCCAAGTCTACTCAAAATGGATCAGGAACTTCAAGGGAAAAGGTGTGGTTTCTCTAATGGAAGTGCATGGTCCTTGCAGTATTTTACATACATACTTTTAACAAGCAGGAGAAGAGACTGTGCTTTGTTGCCCCGTTCTCAATTCAGAATTGGTGATGCTGCTGCTTTCTCTAGATGTGCTTTAGACAAAACTTCTGCTGGTTACAACACTGTGCATTTAAAAAAAAAAGAAAAAAATAGAATAGATCTAGAGAAGCTGTGCATCATTTTATCAAAACTTTCTATTACAAATTCAGCAAGTGTTCCAAGGCATCTGCTGTATTTCACGTTGGCAACTGACCATTTGAAATACATGGCTGGTGTACTGGTTTTAAATTTCCACTGAATGGAGACCATGGATATAAAAGGCCAAATGAAATTTTTAACAAACTAGTGAGGGATTGGTTTTTATGTAAACACTGACTAAATATAAAACATCCCTTATGGGGAGTAGTTTGCAGAGAAGAGTTCTAATAAACTGATTTAGCATTCTCTCATGTATTTGATAAATCTTTTAAATATTTTTTTTGTATGGAAACTGTATTTTTTTATATATATACCTTCCAGAAAATGACAGAGAAGTGATTCCTGATTCTGTTTAACCTGGAAGCTGATAATAGTCTTTTCACATTTCAATATTCATCATTACTTTCAGAGTGAATTTGTTAGATCTCCATTTGTGTGGTTTTGCTCTTCTGTTAAACAGCTGTTTAACAGCTCCTCTGTTAAAATTATTGTGGCAGCACTAAGATTTTTTTTTCAGAAAATAATGTAAAGGCTGTTACTGAACTGAAAATACTTTAACAATGACAGCTCAAGAGTGTGTTCTCTAGATTTTACACGTCAGATGGAAGAATATGAGTGCTTTGAAATTGCAGTATCTGCATTGATATGGATGACAGCCAGCAAAAGCAGCTTTAGCTAGACTATAAAAGAAAAAGATCCTGCTGCCTCTCTTGGGAAAACAAAAATATTTCCCATAGTGGGTATAATATTTGGCATGGACTTCCAGGGTGAATTGATGGCTAGCTTTTTGTTATTTCAAATACCTTAAATTTTCTTATGTTAAGTCTGTAATATTTCCATATTATTACTAGAATCCAAACAGATGCCAATAAAAGTGATTATCTCCCATTCTGTGATTTGATAAGAATTTCGTAACATTTCTGAGAAAGGGTATTATTTTGTTTGAAGTCTTTTAGTAACACATTCTACTAGTACATTGCTTCAGAGGCAGTTTTGTATTTCTGTCTACTGTGTACCATAGTCATCGATGCTGCATCACTAGATGGTGCCTATGCTGATCCATGTTTTGTAAAAGCTGCAGCAAGACCCAAACTTGCATTTTTTCATATCATAAAGCTGGTGAGTTCGCTCTGTAATCCCTAACTTTTTTTTTTTTTTAATTAGACAAGGTCTTGATGGGAATACTCTGTTATCTGAAGATATGAGAAGAGAACTTCAGAGGCAGCAGTGGGAAAAAGAAGAAGAAGAAGCCCTCAGAAAACCTATGGGACCAATACATTATGAGGACATTCGAGAAAATGGTATATACTTCCATGTTACATATCACTTATCTTTGAATCACCAAAGATAGTTGTTTTACAGCAAACAAGAAAAAGTTACTTCTGGTGCCTGAATAGCAGAGTATAGGTATTTGTTAAGCCACGTATAATAGCCCTTCATATTACCAGTACATAAACCTAGATTTATTTTTCCTCAGATTGTATTTTTCACAAATGTATTTTTCAGATTTCATCACCTCCTCGTGTCTTCACCTTCCAGAAGCTTCACTTCCTGCATCATCTAAAACAACCCCTTTTAAGCCATCTCAAAACTAATACCCTGTGTGTTGTTGGGAGTAATTCAGTGCTTGAAAGCAGGGTGCATGGTGCTTGTAGCTACTGTCAATTATAAACCAAGTATAATTTAAATTTCTTGGTTCTCTTCTCCTTTTCAGAGGCCAGACAGCTTGGTGTTGGTTATTTTGCCTTTTCTCGTGACAAAGAACTTAGGAATAAACAACGGGCAACACTGGATATGCTAAGAGAGCAGGTATGAGTTTAAAGAGCAAAATGGGGTATGAGGGTATCCTGGTTTCAGTGGCCACTGTCTTTGATTTATTGTTACTAATTGATGCCTGCAGCTGACTCCAGAAAAAAAAATGTTGAAACATGGTACTTGATGAGGATTGCTTTTAGTTGTTCAGTGAAGGAAGATATGTAGTTGATTATAATAACAAAGGAAGATTAATTCATGTTTTTCTTTGCTGTTAAGACACTTGATCAGAGAACTAAACGTGAACAGTTAAAAGAAAAAAGGAAGGCAGCTCTGGATGCAAGGCTGTCTAAGCTTCGAGCACGGAAGGTTAAGAAGTTAAGGGAAGCTGGATTAGATGAAGAGGCCGACAAACTGGAGAATGGAGGTATGATCTGCTGCCTTTTTAAGTTAAATACTTGCTGTTTCATCTTGTACTTGATCAATGGACAGGCATGCTCTGATTTAGGTTTGAACATAAAATATATGATGTCTTCTATGTATACGTTAACAGTAACTGGTAAGATAGTGAGTGTTCATTTGATTGTGTGTAGATTTAAAATCATCCCAGAAATAGCTTAACGCATGTAGAAATATGATGTATAGGTTGTAGGCTTTTGTTGATGCACCCCTGAGAGCAGGAGTTATGTGGGTTAATTGTGCAGGTAGAGGATAAAGCTGCTGAAGATAGGTAGAATGAACAGTAACAAATGAATTTTGATATCATACAATACACATTCTTACAGTTTCAGTGCAGTCTGTAAATTGTACATGCAACTGACTTCAGGGTGATGAATTTGAGTTCTAATCCCATCTCTGTGCTGTCTCCCTTCTGACACTGCTAGTCACTCGTACAGTCTGTCTCCCACTGTAAAATGTAGCCAGTATTTCACTGTGTCAGAATTCTCTGCAAGTGATGAACTGTGCACTGTTGTGTCAACAAAGAACAGTAAAGTGCCACTGCTTTTGCTGTTCTGAAGAATAAGAATGCAAATTGTTTTCTCCAGTGAATGAAATTGAGATTACATTCTTATTTTTACCTGATTTTCTAGCTTCAGTATAACACTCAGCACATTCCTTTTTGGGTTATTAGGCAATAGATTTTCAGCAGTCTTTTTGATGCAACTAGAAAGCTAATGAACTGACTCTTTGTAGATACTCTTCCTGATTATCTGGCTTACCCATTATCTTTTCTGAACTAATATGCAGTAATTAAAAAAAATCACCTTCTCCACTCATGCATTTAATTATTAGAATTAAATTAGATAGCTAGTACAAGCTCTATACATGCAGATAACTCTTGCATCCTCTTCCTCCTGTGAAGTTCATCTAGATTTTATCCTGTTTATGGGAGACTGCCCCCCTGGCATCAACTCGTGACACCATTACTAACAAAAACTACTGTCTCTTTCTGTAACATAGAGGTGAAAGGTGTTGCTGATGAACCAGAGGCTCCAAAAGTTCCTGCAGCAAGTAGAAAGGTAGAGGTTGTCATCCAGGAGAGAAGAGACACAAAGCCTGGCGTGCCCTATGTCCGAGAGTGGGATAAAGGCAAAGGTAAGGAAATGATTCAGAATCATTGTTTGCTGCTACATTCATTCATGCTTTATGACAAAGTATGGTGAGACTGAGAAGCAATGGAACACTTTCTCCCTGGGTTGATGACTATCTGGTCTCCAGTGCAGTGACTGACCATGCAGTGCCTTAGTGCCAGTAGCTGCTATCAAGTTACTCCATTTCTTGATGATCCAGAGAGGTTGACAGAATGACAAATTCAGTAGTTCACAAGACTTGTTGTCTTTCAGCATTATCTTCTGTTGATGTATTTCTGTAGCTTGTGCTACATGATGGTAGGATGTGTTACACTGGAACAGGTACAGGACGATACAAAAAACTGATGCAAGCTTCAGTGCCATTGTCCCATCTTTCAGGTCCTGTCTGTTTAATCTTTGTCCTGCCCAACACTGATTTCTTTTCTGCCTCTGAGCAATTCTGTTATCTGACTGACACTGCATTGTACTACACAACAAATACTACACTCAGAAAGCAGAGGACAGCTTACTCTAAAATGTGAAGTAAAAAATCTGTGATTTATTTATCCTGAATGTAACATAAGCATCTAAGTATAAGAAGGGATAAGCAAAATTTCTCACTCTCTTACATGCTTTCCTCCTTTATTGCAGATTTAAAAAAATGTTTACCAAAGCAAAGGAAGGAGTTCTACTCTGATTTGGACTCTTACTTTGCTACATCAGACAAATGTACAACTCCTCTGCATCAGAATTTTCCATTTCATTTCTTACAGAAGTCTTGTTAGAAATGAATACTGAAAGGAATTTTACTGGTTTTAGAGATTAGATTTGGGAGGTATTTTTCTAAGCATGGTGATCTTGAGCTGTCATGCCACTGCAGTACTTCAGAGCTATGTTTAATCAGAAATCAGCAGTTGTCACAGTAACTAGAATATCTACCACTTCTGTTGAAATAAAGAAGCTACTGGTTTTTGCCTGTGCCCACTAGAGATAGAAAAATTATCTCTGTCATCTAATAACTATGCTGTTAATGGTTTGATTGGTTTGTATTTTGATTCACCCCTAACTTAAAGTGACTAGGGTGAGTTATATAAAGAATGGTGTACATCTTTAATGCCCAGTGCTTTTGTTCCTGCTCTGCAAAGAACATGGACTGTCAGCTTATCTAGCAATCTAGGACTAGATGGAAAAGTCATTTCAATTGGCTTTACACAGCTTCTGTTTGCTAATTTGTTTTCCCTCCTTCCTGACTGATCTTCAGACCCTGAAATCTATTCAATCTACCATTTTCCTTGTTTCTAACAGAACTGATGTTTGGGCAATGGTCAAAGAAACAGGAAGAACTCAGAGATGAGCGAGATCCAGAATTTGCACCACCTTCTGATTACTTTCTGGGACAAAAGAAAGATGACAATTACAGAAGTCAGAATTTGAACAGTCCTGAAACCTCCTCTGAAAAACTGGAAACAGAGGCAGCAGAAAAGCAACAGGCCAACGGCAGCAGCACTGGAGCTGGGACACCATCAGCACAGCCTTTCAACAGCAGAGTTCAAGACGAGTCAGTATCCGCAGCCTCCCGTGGCAATGACACTCGGAATGAGCCATCATCCTCGGAAGATGACAGCAGTGATGATGAAGATACACTGCCATCAGCACATGCTTATGGCTATGGTGCTCAAGGTGTGCCACCATCCATGCAGGCTTATGGCTATGGACCTCAAGATGTGCTGTCACCAATGCAGGCTTACGGCTACGGCGCTCACGAGATGCCATTTCCAGTGCAGGCTTATGGCTACGGCGCCCAAGGGATGCTGCCACCCATGCACACCTATGGCTATGGTGCTCATAACGTGCCGTTCCCAATGCATGCTTATGGCTACAGCACCCAAGATGTGCCACCACCAATGCAGGTCTACAGCTGCAACGCCCAAGATGTCCCACCACCAATGCAGGCTTGTGGTTGCAGTGTCCAAGATGTCCCATCATCAGTGGAGACCTGTGGCTGCAGCACCCAAAATGTCCCATCATCAGTGGAGACATGTGGCTGCAGTGCCCAAAACGTGCCACCATCAGTGGAGACCTGTGGCTGCAGCACCCAAGATGTGCCTCCTTCAGCACAGACCAACAGCAGTGACACTCAAAACCAGGAGCCACTTTACCAAAGCTTAGATGATATGCTGTCTTACTACAGACAAGTGACTTGAACTGAACAAAAGATAAGCCAGAATCATGATTCAGTAGAATTACCTTCTTGGCAAGAATATTATTTTCCCACATCTGGGAAAAGTAAGGTTCTGTAAGTAGATAAAAATAAATATGCTGGAGACGTAAGCTATTTTACATCACAGCTGTACTTATGCTCTGTTGTGGTTTTTTTCTTTTTCTCTTTATTAGTTACTTTTTGGCAGTACTTAATTTAGTACATATTTCATTTTAACTCCTTGCCACTTATCACCTGAACTTTGGGGTATATTAAGGCTTTCTTTCAAAGTTGAACTCTTCCTTTACTCTGTTGCTCCCCAGCTAGCTTCTGGTTTGGAGGTACTACAAGTTCAGTGATACCTGTAGAAACAAAACAGCTTTAGGAAATCTGTTACCCATTTAATCACCTGCCTTTAGTAAATGCAGAAAATCATCTAGTGAACAGTGTTGGTTCACATGGTCATAATGGCATCTGCATTCCTGAGGTCTGTATATAACTCATAATTCTGTGAAGCAAATGGGAGAGAGGCATTGCAGAAATCAGTAAATAATGATGGTTAGACCAAGAATAAACACTTCACTAAAGCAAAAGTCTTGACACCTGAAGTTACTGTCTTACTGGTTTAGAAAATGCTCTTTTTTCTTGCATTATCTGTTAAATTTCTGGACCGATCTAGAGGATATTGTCTCCCATTCACTCCTTCTCCCCATGTTACCTCCTGTGACACCAGCAGGAAATGGGTGTGCACTTGGGCTGTGTTGGTCAGGACCTGCCACTGTCAGCATAGGACTGATTTAAGTAAAGCAGGTTTGTGTTTTCACTCCTTTCTGAGCATGCAAAAATTGTGGGCACACTGTGTCTATGGTTAGAACTGTACTAACGTGTTGGAACTGAGCTCTTTCCCAAGAGGTACCAGTGGTGGCTCATCTTGCCTTCAGTGTCCTGCACACAACTCGGGGCAGTCCCTGGCTCTTGGGCAGTGTATCTAAGGCAGCTTTCTCCCACATCTCTGTGTGAGCATTTTTTCAGATACACAAATTATCTTTGTCCAAAATGCAAAAAGCATTCAAGTATGCTTGAATGTCAGTCTCCACCTGCTCTATCTGCCTGGCAGGACTCAATCTGACCTCCTTAGAACACACAGTTTTCTGTGTGTCACCAAAAGCCAATTTTCCCCTTCCCAGAGGGCAGCAGGGATCTGGATCTGTGAACTACTAGAATGTCAGATAAGGCTGCTAAAAAGGGTAAAAAAAAATATCTGGCTGCAATTCTGTAATGTTAGGGGCAATACAGTATCAGTATCTTCATTACAGTGTCTTCATTAACTGTTTTTAATAAAAATAGTTCTCCCAAGCCCTTTGCTGTCCAGGAGGCCTGGTCCTGTGATAAAGAGGTGCCTGAACCTGTTCAGCTACCAACACAATGATTAGGTCCTTTGACTAGAAAGTGCACTTTGACAGTACAAGGTGACTGAAACTTATATTTATTTATGGTAACATGGGCTTTTGCTGACAGAAGTGTTGTAAGACTGTAACTGTTGTAGGTTACCCAGCCTTCCAGCTCAGATTGCACCAGTGACCAGAATTCAGAGAAAGAGACTTCTGCTTGTATCACTCAAAGAGGCTTCTAGCCTTTATCCAGAGGTGAAAACCCCATTCAGTGCTTGTCCTGTATTGCTATAGGAGCTCTTTTCACTTGGACCAGTGTAAATGGCCTAAATTTATTCACATAGGTTGTGAAGTATCTTAGTGCTCAGGTAAGAGATCTAGAGTAGCAGCATCAGACTCCAAGGCGCCAGTCTGCCATGGGTGTAATAATTAAACAGTTTCATTTTTTGTCCTCACAATCTTCCAGCTCGTACCAAAGCACAGGCTGATACAGCAACATCTTGGATGACTGCAGTTAAACCTGAGCCTCCAGATTAAAACTGCAGATTTTAATACTCAGGCCCTGGCCCTCATTGTCACAATGAAGAGCAGAAATTGAAATTTATTCTTACAAATTAATACCAAACCAGCAGATGCACTCAGGCTCCACAGGGTCACAAGTGGTCTTCAGTAAAAGGTCCATTTCCAGTATAAAACAGTAATGCCGTTTTTAAAACACAGCTAGAGATAAAATAATACATCTTAACAAAAAAATTTATTCAGACTAAACAAAATGTACAATGCTTCCCAAATGACAGTGAGTTTTCATGACTCTCTGAAGTCTGCAGATCCATAGAGTAACTCAATCACTTCTTACCCTGCAGCTGGATCAAACTACTTTTTGCCAGACTTCTTTATTCCACCACTGGCTGCCAAAAGAAACAACACAACTGGTTAGACAACTGTTTCAGAGCTTAGCTACAAATTTAGTTCCTCATAAAATCAAATCCCCACTGGACTGCTGACAGAACTCACACTCCCACTGGTGAATTGCTTTTGCTTGTGTTACTCTTCTGTGTTTGTGATCTCACTTACTTTACTCTGAATAAGTAACTTGATGTTAACAATGGAAACCCAAGTTTCTCCTGGAACTAAATAGGCCCCATGAATCTACAACAGCACTAAATATTTCAACCATTCCTTTTTTCCTCCATAGACACCCTTCATTGTTTCATTGT